CGTCCCTCCTGTCGACAGCAAACCTCGTGGGAGGAGTTTTACCGGGGCTGCCGACAAAGGGCTTTGATGTCGACAGGGGGAACGTCCAGACTAGCGCACAAGCCGACAAACAGCTGATCAGATGTTTGTCGGCTCAGCGCGGCAGCCATGTAAATGTAAATGAAGCCGCGATCATTTAAATCGCGGCTTCATTTGCCTTTGCCAAAACAACAAATCTACATGGCTCCGTCAACGGAGCCATGTAGTCTAGACGTACCCTGAATGAATAATATTGATAAATGGAATGATAATCTGGCACTTCCTATTTTTGTTTAAAACAGCATGTATGTCCTGTGAAAGTACAATATAGACTCATCTTAAAATCAATTGTCAGTTAAGCTACTTTGGAAATGTACATACCACTCATGTGGTGTTTACAAAGGTAGATTTTATTGACAGGAACTTCTGTTCATTTAGCTACTTAGCCAGTACACCATGACAGGGCAATTAAAATGGACATGAAAGTGGGGGGAGGGAAGAGGGAGAAGGAATCGGCTCAAAACAATAAACTGTTTGTATCAATCTTAATTCTGCTTTCTTTCACATGGAGCTGAAACAGGAGAAATGCCAAGGATGCAGCTAGAGAAGTAATAGCTGGATGTTTGGCAGGAGAATCTGTGACAGAAACATATTTAGATAGATTATTAAAAGACAATGAAAGAAAATATACATTAGAGATGGAACTTTTGTCATTTCCTGCCAACTGTTTTCAAATAGTTAAGTTTCTGTGGAGCCAGAGGTTAAAGTCGGGACAGGATTTTCTAGTCTCTTAATTGTAAAGGTAAATAAACTGAGTACCAGGGGGATTTCAGACCACATCTTAAAAACAGAAGGTCTGATCCTCATCTCACTTGCATTGATGTAGCCCCCATTGATGTAACAGAGGAAAATTTGACTCTGAAACTTTCTTTGTTGTGTGTGGATGTTATAGACCATTTTATTATCAGGAGTTTCCCCTTATCATTGTACAAATATGTACCCTTGCCTTTTAACCGACTGGATGGCTTTTACCATCCATCCCAAAGGCTCTGCATATAGTGATACTTTTTGTACATAACTTGTAAAATTCTGAGGAATGAAATGTGCAGCGTGGCAGCTTTTCAGTAGGCCTTTCCTGCTTATCCAGCATCAGTCCTATCTCAGATGACATGCCCTTTAAAAGACTAGTCCCAAAAGGCCACATGATGTGGCAGCAAACCAGAAACAATACAGAGGAATCTTCATTCTGTACATACAAAAATAAAATCTAAGATCCTAGTCCTATCACTTACCGCTGGGTGATAAGACCACACAATTTTCATCATTATTAGCAAAATTGGGTTCATTGGGAGCCCAGGCTACATAGTTCACTGGGGTTCCATCCAGCCAGCTAAGAGAAAAGATGTCATAGTAGTTATTAATCAAATTGCTTTTAGAAAGGGGCACATAGATCCATTACACACATTATTTGTCTAGAATCCAGAAGGGTACATTCGTAATTTCTATGTCTGTTTTACATTTTATGTTAGATGGATGATATCCTCTAGCTATAAAGTTACATGACTAAAACCATGTACATCAGAGGTCAGGAATTTGTACTTCTTGACTTTGATTTTCCTTTGTTGAGATAAATTACATAAACATAAATATTACAGTTTGGTAAATAATGAAAAAATAAAAAATATTTTTCCATTTCTGTTGATTGATAGAAATCATTAAATAAATTGGGAAATAGCTTTCAATCAGTTTTAATACACATAATGACTATCAAATATGGCAATAACTTAGAGATATGATATGTAGAATGGTTCCAGTCGGAAGGATGGGCCTGGGGAAAAAACTCTCTCTGTATATGGCAGCAGGGGGGAACTCATGAAACCTTCAAGGATTCGGGTTATACTGGATTCGAGAGAGACATGGAGTTTCAATGGGAGTCAGGAACGAGGAAAAGGGTTTGTCAAAATGATGACAACATTTGGCAGCTTTGATACCACAGTGAGCTGCAAAGAAGTGACATGATGAAGCATCATGGAGAGCTGGTTTAACCCATGTCTGCTTCATACAAGCTCTGTCCCCCTGCTAGTAGCCCCTCGATTGATAAGTCTGTTGCAGCCTTAACTAAGAGAATGGGCCTTTTAGCTCATGTAACAGAGTCTCATACACCAGGTATCAGAGGGCCCACCAACAATCAAGATCAGTGTTATACAGGATTCTGCACCGCTAAAAAGATGGTAGTTATTTGACTATATCTCACTTAGGAAACAAGTTGATTGCCATAGTACTTTCTACTTCGTCAGCCACTTACAGTCTTCTGTAAGATTAGTACACAACTAACTATAATTGAGTTGAAAAATGGTAGCATTAATAGACCCTTCACAACTTTTGATGACAGTGTGTGTGTGAGAGAGAGAGAAACGGTACATGTTCATATTTACTTACCTAAACTTTTTATCAAGACTCACTATTAAACCAATGAAATATGATCTGGACTCATGCTGGGAGATACCCTAAGATAAGAAGATGCCATTTTCATTAAATAGTTTCTTTACATGACACAAAGAGGTTTTAGGCAAAACTAGTAGCAATTTTCTTTCAACTGATTACTAAAGAGAATACAATTGAAATCAATGGGATTTAACCATTTACTTAGAGATAAACATGTACTGAAATACTATTCTAAACAGAGGAGCATTAATCACATGTTTAAGTATTTTCCTGAGTCAGGACCTAAATGGGCTGCTTTAGAGAGGTCTTTGAGTAACCATAGCTTACATGGACATCTAAGGTCACTAGGGACTGCAGACATTTAGCACCACTTTTAGTTAGATGCCTAAATACTGCAAAGTTCTGTAATAACTTCCAAGCCACAATTTTCACTACTATAAAATGGGGAAAGTGATATTTACTCATTTACTTGGTGGGTTGTGAGACAGAAGTTGTGTTTGTTCAGTCCTGTGTTAGTGCAAATTGCTAGTCAAATACACAAATGTCAATAGAACTGAGGGGCTCCAGGCTTCCTGTCATATACTTACGTGGGACTGTCTCAAGGGTCCATTGATGGGAATGCAAACATATCTAGTGACATTTTTCGCAATAATCAGTTATCATTTGGACAAGTTTCAAAAATTTAACAGCAGGCAAATTTCATCCAAAAAAATTTAACAGCTCCACACCTATCAATAAGACACATCTCAATCTATATTTTCCAAAGTTTCAGAAACTGAATATCAGAAGTATCTTTTCTTGTTTCCTGCCATGCTATATTATTTATTTCTGAAACAAACAATTATTCTTACAGTTTTCCATAAAAACTTTCTTTCGCTTTCACTCTCAATTACAGCAAGATCTGCAAAATCCTTCTGGCAGAACTTTCGTGCTTTTTCCATAGGAAACTCATTTCTGTTGAAAAAATACTGCTTGTCTTCATATATAATCCATCCGTCTTTAGTGATTTCATATTCTGGAAAGTAAATAATGCATCCTTAACTACTACAGTTGTAGCACAAAAAGTGTATTCTATAATAGCAGTTTTACTAAGAGTTAATGCATGCACACGCACACACAACTTAAAAAAAATGCTTACCATACTTGCTAATTGGTTCTGGTTTTAATGATACTCCTGCAAAAGAAGAGAAAATCTAAACGTGAAATATATTTCACACATATTCTTCAAGAAATATTTATTTTGTATAGTAACTAGTGATGTAGTGTTAACTAATCTATTTTAGCCACCATCACAATGTTAATGTTTTTCAATTGGAAAAATATCATGGAAGGTCCATTCAAAGGTCATATTTAAATTCTATCAGCTGCAGCAGAAAATTGATCTAACATCCAGATGGGCCTGCTCACCACAATCTAGATTCAAAAGCTTCAGAGGGATAGCTGAGTTAGTCTGTACAGGATAAACTTAAAAAATAACAAATAGTCTGGTAGCACTTTAAAGTCTAACAAAACATATAGATGATATCATGAGCTTTTGTGGTCACAGCCCACTTCTTCAAATGACCATAGTGTTGGATGTTCAGAACCAAACAATACATTTTTGTTTATTGGTCATCTGAAGAAGTGGGCTGTGACCACAAAAGCTCATGATATCATCTATATGTTTTGTTAGACTTTAAAGTGCTACCAGACCATTTGTTAAAGTGACGAGGAGTCCTGTGGCACCTTATAGACTAACCAAAGTGTTGGAGCATAAGCTTTCGTGGGCAAAGACCCACTTCATCAGGTGCATGCACAAAACATGCATCTGACAAAGTCGGTCTTTGCCCATGAAAGCTTATACTCCAACACTTTGGTTAGTCTATAAGGTGCCACAGCACTCCTCGCCGCTTTTGCAGATTCAGACTAACACGGCTACCCCTCTGATACAGACCATTTGTTGTTTTTTAAGTTTAATCTAGATACAGTTTTCCTTACATTTACTCCAGTGTCATCGTGCCTGAATGTTGCTAAGATATGAATACATGGGTCATCAGCCATTTAGTTTGATTGATCAATTTTGATAGAATCAGATAGCCATGACTTTTCGCCATTGCTTTCCTGAGGAGCACTTGATTTATTATTTAAGAATGGAGGGGATCTTAGAGCATTACTGTCATGTGCCCATTCAGCCGGGAAAGCTCTAATGCTGATTCTGAGGGAATGTGTCTATTCCACCAACAGTTACTTTAAATAGGAACCAGACAAGGATGCTGGATTTCTTGCCAACCTTGCTGGCTCCCTAAAATGCCTGGCTTGCTAGTGGGCTACTGGGCTGTTGGGCTCCTGGGCTGTGAGGCTCCTGGGCTACCTATCTGGTAGATAGGAAACTTTGTTGAGTGACTAAGCAACTTTCCCAGGCTTGCTGGCTCCTTGGCTTCCTGTTTGGTTGGCTTCCCTGTCTGCCTGAAACCCCCAGTTAACTGGTTCCTGAATACCCCATTCCCCATCAGACTAGGTCCCAGGGCTGCCCACCTAGTGGACATGAGGACACCCCATCTTTTGGCCTCCTGGCTCCTTGATCTCTAAAGCTTCCTGATTCCCCAGCTACTTAGCTTCTTGGGCTACCTCACCTGCTTAACAAACAAATGGCTTTTTAATTCCCTAAGCTGTCCAAACATCCACCTGGGAGGCTGCCTGGGTTCCTAGCTAAAGAGCTCTCTGACCAGACTTATCTAAAATGACCAAATGAGAGAGTTGCTAAAGATTCAATACAATATTTATAGAAAAGAAACCTTCCCATCAAACACTGGCAAAAAGATCATTAAGCCTGGAAAATCAAACACAAACCTCCTGCTCTGATCTGAGTGTGAAGTGAGATCTGGCCAGTTTTGAATGGTTTCAACTGTTTCATTGAACTTTTTACAAAGTTCTAGTATGATAACTTAACTATGTAAAGATTTTTTTAAAAAAACAAACTTTGGATATATTAGTGTAACACCCTTTAACCAAAAGGGGTTCTTAGTCATTTATGTTTAAATTAAGGAAGCCAGTTTATTTTCCTCCCCTCATGTCATTTTGCAAAACACTACTCAACTGTTACACATTTTTAAATGTAAGTGTGGATTTTTCAGGTAATGTCTATAAATATACAAGTTATAATTATGCGTATCTTGTACTAGAAAATTAATTAAAATGTAAAAACTATTACAAAACTATTACAAAATATTTTTATCAATATTTCTAGACATACTTGTGTTACCAAAAACACAAAAACAAAAAACCAACCCCAAAACCCTAGTTACCACAAGCAGGTTTTTAATTAGAAAAGAACCAAAGATTCCAGAGAAATTATCTCATCCATGCAGATCAGTCCATACTTTCTGATCTAATCCAAAATTATTTGTAGTTTCTTCCAGTGCCACTTAATGCAAATATCCATACACAAAAGAGGATACTCGATCTATGGTTATTTCTGAAATCTTTCCTTTTTTTGTTTTGTTTTTTTGGTTAGACATATCTATGTATAAAAGACTAATGTTTCAAAGAACTAATGTTTCAAAGAACATAATTATTAAAAATATTACCTTTTATGGTATGAACCTATAAAATATTTACCAGTCACATGCTGAATTTGCTTTTGATAGGACCTATGCAAACACATTAGTTATTTATAAATCTTATTTAGGAACATACACAGATGCATGTTGAATAGCATATTCCTAACTTGAAAATCCAGCCTTAAATATGATGTGATATCTAGCCCATGCTTTTTTTCACATTTCCTTAAGAAAAATGTAATTTTCAAAATCTCACCTCTTGCTTTTAATTAGCCCACCAAAGGGACTTTTTAAAAAACAAATGTATTGAGTTTTCTCATTTAAAGGGGGAAGTAATCTTACCTTTTTTTATCTGACAAATCCAGTCATGCAGCACGTTGCAGGATGCGTGCGCCCAATGTAAGGAAAAACTGTATCCATTCAGTACTCCACAGTCTGTGTCTCCTTTCCGATTTGTTGAATGTTCTCTCCAGTCTATGTACCTTACCTGTTGTAGAAAACAGCTTAGTTACTATTTTTGCCTTAAAGGGGGACACGGTGTTTTCTGCGTTGTCAAGTAAGAGTAACCTGGGCTTGTTTTACAGATTTAGTCGTGTGGATGCACTATTTCTAAATGCATTTTGTGTGTGGATGCGTTATTTCGAAATATCTTATTTCAAAATAGTTATTTTGAAATAAGATATTTCGAAATAACGCATCCACACACAAAATGCATTTAGAAATAGTGCATCCACACTGAGTGGACTCTGAATCGCATTTAAGGCTGTCCGGAACCAGTTCTGGCAGGGCACCAGTTCAGGACTTATTGTGTGGGGCTACTGCCTGAGGCTATCTGAGGTCTGTGTTTAAAGTGACCCCCCCGGACAGCCAGTTCTCAGATTTCCCTGCTTCCTTGTCTACCTCGATGAGAACAGCAAAGCATTTTGTCTCTGTGTGCTCTGATTGCCCTCATTTGGGACACCACAGCACTCTGAAACATGGAGCCAGAGCTGCCCCTGGGCACGCTGGTGCTTCTCTTGGACATGTTGCTGCAAGCCTGGCTGCACTTTTTCCAGGCTGCCATTTGGGAGGTTCATTGGGGGGCTGTCAGTATCCAGGAGGCCCTGCGGGAGAACTTCTAACCTGAGGAGCACTAAGAGCCTCCCTGGTCTGCCCCACTGGGAGCTTGTGCCTCATTCCTCCCTCACGTTCTTCCACTTGCCCCTCCCTAACCCCCCTTCCTGATGTCAAATAAACACATATTTTCATGAACACAAACTCTCTTTATTTAACAAATCTGGGGGAGGGAGGGAATGAAACTCTGGTGAAACTGGGGAAAGGAGGTGGGAGAGGGGAGAAGAGAGGCTGAGAGAGGGGAGGAAGAAACCTGGGAGGAGGGAGCTGGAAGAGGGAAGCAAGGGGAAGAAGGGGGGAGGGGAAACGTAGGGCTCAGGGTTGGGGGGTCTTGTCAGACCAACTTGATTGTCATGCAAACCTGCTCCTGTATGTGGCCTTTGGTGGCCAGGCTGGCAGATATCCTGCCATAGATGGCCACATTCCTCCATCTAGTGCAGAGATCGTGGACATTGGGGGCATCCCCCCAAACCTGAATAAGGTCCCTGGATCTCCACGCTGGACCAGGAAGGCGCCTGCCTTCTCCAGCCCCTGTCAGGCTCCTGGGGAGAGATGGAGGGCTGGCTGCCAGTGGCTTGCTGGCTCATGTTTTGGGGCCACTGGGTCAGGGGCAGTGACTGCTGCATCTGGGCTGGCAGGCTCGGAGATGGCATAGGCACTGTGGCCAGAGACTACCCCTTTAATGGCTCCCGGGGGCAGGGGGGGGGGGGCCAGGGTACCCTGGGAAAGCTGGAGGCCCCCTATTTTGAAATAAGCATCTACACAGCACTTATTTCAATTTAGCTATTTCAAACTTGGCATTATTCCTTGGGGAATGAGGTTTACCAAATTCGAAATAAGCACTCTACTATTTCGATTTAATTTCAAAATAGTGGTTTGGCTGTGTAAATGCTAGGAAAGTTATTTCGAAATAAGGGCTGTTATTTCGAAATAACTTTGCTGTGTAGACATACTAACTCAATGGGATTGGGAGAGCAGGGGTGTAGTGAAAATAACTTGCACAGTCCTCGTGAGGACGAACGTAGTTTCAAGCATCACACAGTGAGCCAATGGTGGATTAAGATGACCTGGGATCAAGTATTTTTTGTTGTGAAGAGCTTTTCCATCCACAGTTTGAGCCTCAGACACAATGTTAGGGTAGGAACAGCGATGTGTACTTTCTTCTCTGGCTGCAAATTTAATTCAGTCTTATTGGTGGCATTTCTGTATGTATTGCATAAACTTCACTTGACCATTTGCATGATAGAACTGTCTCTCTCATGGCTACTATAGGCATACTGGTAGAGAGTCCCCCTTGCACACTGCTGCAGTGCCCGCCCAATGTATGCAAACCCCATCATAAGGGTCATGGTGGCGATGGGAGGGAACTCTTCACAGCTCTGATTGCTACTGATGAACTGACAGACATTCTGCACAATGCAGAACAGCCTATAGGCAGCCAGGTAAGGCTGCTGTAACCTAGAGCACCCCACAGCTGGCCCAGAATATGGATGGCTCAAAAATGTTTACCTGCCCTCCTTTTGATCTGCACATTCTGTATTTTGCATACAACAACAGCAGCAGAATGCGTCTCCCTGGGTCCATAAATGATGAGATATGTTAAAATCTCCCTGGGGAGGAATAGTTACGTGCATCTCTAAAACAAGCAGGGATGAGGCCCCTGCTCAGGAAATAGTCACTTCAAGTTAAGACTCTCATAAGCATTCATCCTATCTCACATCTTCTTGTTTGGGGAATGAGGACTGTGGAATAATGCTGAAGGTTCAGGGCCGAGTCCTTGCTGGTGATATATAATCACCGGATGCATAATGGGGCCCCACTGTTAGAGGTGCACATAATAGAAATGTTTTTTTCCTTTGGAAATTAAACATATTAAAATAATCTTAAAAGAATGTTACAGGCATTTAACTTAAATTCAAACACTGGAAACTGGATAATTACTATATCTTCATGTTTTCCACAGGAGCCCTGTCTCAGGCAGTGCATAAGAAAAGGCAACAGTGAAAGGCTGTGTGGGCCACTGTAAAATTAGCATTTCCTTACTTTCAAATGTTTGACCTTGCAACCTAAACAATTTTATTTTAGCAACTTGAATGCAATTCTTTATAAATACTTTACTAATAGGCATGTCCCATAATACTTTGAGATATGTGCATTTCAGACACCCCATACCGTGGTCTGCCCTACTGTAGCACTGCAATTCTCTTGCTGCCTTTCGTAGAATCATAGGGTTGGAAGAAATCTCAGAGGAGATCATCTAGTCCAAATCACTGCTCAAAGCAGGACCAACCCTAACTAAATAATTCCAGACAGGGCTTTGTCAAGCCTTAAAAACCTCTAGGGCTGGAGATTCTACCACTCCCTAAGCAACCCATTCCAGTGTTTCACCACTCTGCTAGTGAACTAGTATTTCCTAATATCCAGCCTAGACCTCCCTCACTGCCACATTGCCTAAGGCTGACTTTCTGGGAGTTGTAGAAGGGTGCTGTGAATGGAGGGCTCACAGTTTTAGAATATGAGACCTTTTGCAGTCAAACGAAGCCTGTCTTAAGACATGATCCTCTTCTTTTTTTTTTTTTTTTTTGCTTGTTTTGGATCTTTAACCAGGAGTATGACTGTAAATATCCTGGGAAGGTAGTGTTGGCAATAGTGGGGGATGACTGTACATTTTATAATAAATGTCAGATACCACGAAGTCTGCGGTTGGAGTAGGGGATAATAAAAGAAGCATTTCTTCATGTAAATGCTGAAATCAGAGTAAAGTGTTCTGTGGCCCCAATCCTGAAAAAAAACTTACACACATGCTTAATTTTACTCCCTTGAATATCCCATTGATTTCATAGGCCGTGTCCACACTCAGGGGTTCTTTCGAAAAAAGTACCCTTTTTTCGAAAGAACTTCCCCTGCATCCAGACTCAAGCCGCGTTCTTTCGAAATTATTTCGAAAGAACGCGGCTTTTCTTTCGATGGCGGTAAACCTCGTTTCACGAGGAAGAACGCCTTCCTTCGAAAGTTCCTCTTTCGAAGGAAGGCGTTCTTCAATGTAAAGAGGCCGTCTTCGAAAGAGAGCATCCAGACTCGCTGGGTGCTCTCTTTCGAAAAAGCGGATTTCCTCTATCGAAAGATCCACCTGCAGTCTAGACGCGATCTTTCGAAAGAGCCTCTTTCGAAAGATGCTTTCGAAAGAGGCTCTTTCGAAAGAAGCCTGCAGTCTAGACACAGCCATAGTGATCAGTGTTCAAAAGTACCATTGATTTCAATGAGTTACTCAGAGGACTAAAGTGAAGAGTGTAAGTGTTGGCAGGATCAGGGCCTATGAGAGGAAGAGGAGAAGAGAGGAACAGACAGAGATAAGAATATAGAAAATTCCTCATGAACTCAGAAAATGACTTAAAAATAATTTACTCACCGGAGAGCCATCACTCCAGGCAAATCCTTCATCAGGATTCAAAGAAAATATACCAATCCAATAAGTACCATAAAGGGATCCACCTTTTCTAGGATATATTACAGGAAGAGAAGAGTATATAAATATAGAAATAAGGATAGTTTATGTAATAAAAATATAATGTTTTAGAATATGGGGCCTGATCCTAAGCCCAATTAAGCGGCAGAAGGAATTCCACTGACATCAGTGAGCTTTGGGTCGAGATCCTGTATAGGATTTCACAGACTCTCTCTGGAAAAACCTCACTATCCATCAGAGGGATTGACATTTTGATGCTTTCAACTTGCAAGTTCAAATTATTTAAAGCTGCCAGTATCTTCAGATCAAATTCACTAGTATACGATATGACCAGTGCAATGCCCTGGAACGATAGAGTATTCAAAGACTATTGTATTAACTTTATAAATGTCATCAATCTCTTTATGGGATGACTAGTCAGTCACTTTATTCCTTGGCTCAGCGGGTAAGATTAAGGATGTTTACTGAAGGAATTTAAGACAATGCGGTAAAAAGCAGGTAACAAGTGTTTGCTAGTTCCTCTGGAAATAGCATAAACCAGTTTGATCTGGTTCAAGAAGTGCACCATAACAAAGGTGCCAAAATTATGTAAAATATCAGCCTTGACCAGAGGAGATGTTGATTCACACTCTATCCAAGAATGGGCAGACTGGAAATTGGAAACAAGACAGACAGGCCCAGGGCCAGCCCACAACATTTTGGCACCTGAGGTGGAGAGCTCAAATGATGCCCCCATGTCCCCTCACTGTCCCAGCAGCAGACACAATTTTCTACATTTTGGGTCCCAGTGGCACCCTCCCACACTCTGGCATCTGAGGCAGCCACCTCAGTTCGCCTCATGGTAAGGCCAGCCCTGGACAGGCCCTGTGAAAAGAACAAGAAGTAATTCAAACTTATGAGTGATTCTATGTGATAAGCAAGGCATGTCTAGAAGTGGTTTATTGTTTTTAAGTTGTGTATTATGTGTAATACTCTTGTCCTGGATAAAGAATATTTTGCTCTAGTGAAAGCTGCATGATCCCTGGATAACTCTGCCACTGCTGCTGAGAAAATAGATCTTCAAGTGCTTAACTGAACTTAGATCTGCTGAGTTCATTGCAAGAGACAGCAGCCTAAGGTCCTGGCTTAGAGTGAGAGGATCATGAGATCCATCCTGACAAAAGTGATGGCTCAAGGCCTGAGACCTAAACCAGCGTAATCTCAAGGAAGCTACAAGTAACCAGGGAATTGTGACATGATTCCATAGAAGAAGCTGATGAACTAAAACTATAAATGTTGCTGATCTGAACCTGTGTTTCTTCTGTACCGTGTCTTCTTTACAGAAAAAAAATATCAATTCAGAGCTGCTTTTTTTCCTTTTTCAAAATGGTTCATTGATTAAAGATGAGTCACATTGGCCCTATTTTCTATTCCTTTTGTAAATGTAGCTTTTTATTGAACAAATCTCCCAAATGATATCACAAAATTGATTTACGAAGTTCCAGTGAATACCCAAGTTATTATTTTTACATGTTACCACTAAGAATATTAGTAATTTGATAATGTTTACCAACACAGAAGATTGTTATTATTTGACATACCATTAGAATATAATGAAACTTACTTTATTGCAGTTTTTATTATACGATTTTCCTCCTTGCTCTGGACGGTGGCCAGATTTCCTCCAATTTCTCTGCAAAAATCTCGAGCTTCAAACCATGTTTTCTTTTGTTCTTGTGTTTTCTGACAAAAGCACTAAAGAGACTATAGTTTTAAAACAATCCTCTATACTACATTATATTATAAAATCGAGACACAACATCTAAACCCCTTAAAATGGGGTTTTGTACAGCTAGACAAGTCAAAGAGCATGTCATGTACAGGTAACGGGTTACAGAGTGCGCTATTTGTAAATGTGCCTGTTCCACTTTGCATGGAGATCTGTCACTCACAGAAATGAGGAATAAAGGGGTGGATCTATAGCTGCTAGAACAACAGAGAGGGGAAGAATTCAGTTTATAACTCATAGGAGCTGTGAAAGTGCCAAGGATACCTTGTGATATCGGTAGGAAGGAGAATTGTCAGACATGAGAAACATGAATGTGTGAGGAGTATCAGGGTATGTTGAGTAGGGTGGCTTAGGCCTGAAAAGAAGAGGTTTGAGCAGTGAGTGAGCATAGAACATAACCAATAAGGGGATAATGGAATCAGAATCAAAATTACCTTTGGCTGATTTGTTTAAAAAAAACAAAAACTACAGAACTAAAACACAACAGGGTCTCCTTAATCTCTAGCACTAGAACAAAAACTGTTCTTACATTTGTTTAACACCTTTTATTCTATAGGATCCCAAAGCATGTTGGACACACTTCGCACCAGTCCCGCACTTCTAACTTAAGTCATTTCATATGTCAAAAGAAGTACGAAAGTATTTTTAGCAGACATCTGACACTGAGCACTTTTCATTTGAGGCACTCAAAGCTCCTTCCAAACATTAACCCACCAGCATACTTGAGAGATTTTATCCGAATATGAGCATTGTCCTGTTCTTAACAATGGCCAAACCTTAGACTCTCTCATGCCTGGGGTGAACTTAACGTGTATATTCCCACACCACATATCATTTGTCCTTATATCTAGGGCTCTACCAAATTCATGGTCCATTTTGGTCAGTTTCACAATCAAAGGATTTCAAAAATATTAAATTTAATGATTTCAGTTGTTTAAATCTGAAATTTCACAATGTTGTAATTGTAAAAGTCCTGACTGAAATAAGAGTTTGTGTGTGGAGGGGAGTTGCATGGCTATAGTGGGGGAGGGGTGTTTTGGTACTTCCACCCTTACTTCTGAGTCGCTGTATGTGTCTTCCAAGGTGGGTAGTTGGAAAGCAGTAGCTGCTGACTGGGAGCCAAGCTCTGAAGGGAAATAGGGGTGGCTATCCTGCAACCCCCATTAAATAAACTTGCAACCTCCTGCAACTCTGTTTTGGGTCAAGATCCCCAAATTAAGAAGCTCTTGTACCTCCCATGAAATTGGCCTAGTATAGCAAACAAAAGATCAGATTTCATGATCAGTGATATGTCTTTCATAGACATGAATGTGGTAGAGCCCAGCTTATATCACACTCCATCCTGTGTGCAATATGCAACCCTTTATCAACAGTGGTGAGCATGACTCAAATAATCCCACTGACGCCAACATTTGTTGTTGTATCATTTAATCCAATATTTTAGCACTACCCTTTTATTAAGTAATTTTTCAGAAAGATTAGATCTGCTCTTGTTATTCTCTCCTTTTCCCTTTAGTTTCCTTAACTCATTCTCATCCTGAATATCTTGAGGTACTTTGTTCCTCCCTCCACCACCTCCCGGATTTTCTACTGAAATTTTATTTTCCTCTAGCATATAATCTTTCTGTCTTTTTCTTCTTTCTTACTCCATTCCACTTCTTTCTTTTCTTTTCTTTTCCTGTTCTGGTCTGTGTTCTTTAACTTCTTTCCTTTCCTTCAATCTCTCCCATCTTTTCAAATCACCTTCCACATCAGTTCTTGCTTCCTTTCTCACTCTCCATTACTCACTCCACAGAAATATTCACTCAAACTCTCCAACACGTCATGTAAAGGAGTGCCTTTTTGTGTATCCCCAAGTCAGAATATATTAGCAGGGCTCAACAAATAATACAATCTACTCGTTCATGGCGAGTAGATTGTAACCCGGAAGAGCTAGGTTCGGGCGATCTACGCATGTGCAGAATGATCTGTGCATGCACAGATCGCCGGACAGCATGGCTGGCGAGCAGGGCTCGCCATGGTTCGGCGAGCCCTGTATATTAGGGTGTGTCTACACTACATGCTTATTTTGAAATAAGCTATTCCAAAGTAGCTTATTTTGAAATAGTATGTCTACACTGCAGGGAAGCTTCAAAATTAGTCCAAAGCAGTCTTCCCTAATATAGACGTGCTATCTCTATTTAGAGCCCCAGGAGGCACTGGGAAGGAATAACTTAGAATGGTTCTGGGGAGGGGCTATTTTGAAATAGCAGAGAGTCTACACATGCCTTATTTTGAAATAGCTATTTCAGAATAGGCATTATTCCTTGTAGAATGAGGTTTACAGATTTTGGAATTATGCAATAGCTATACAGACACTCACATAGTTATCTCGAAATAACGGTGCAGTGTAGATGCACCCTTACTGGGGACATGCTCTTCTTCCATTCCTCAGTGGCCATGGAACTTCTTCCATTCCTCAGTGGGCATGGGTCTTCAGGACTTTGCTTAGTCTAGTCCCAGGTAATTCACAGAGAACTGAGTTCCCTCCTTTCCTTAAAATCAAGAGTGAAGCTTCTCACCTTCCATGATTAGTTTAGTACTTACTTTGAAGCATGAGCTACTATAAGCACTCGGTTCCCAATCTGGAGGGCACGTGGGGGAAGAAGTTGCTGGAGGAACAGGAGGTGGTGTTGATCCTTCAGCAGATTGTTTACAGAGAAATGTTTCCACCATGTCACAACTGAGTACATCCCATAATCCAGCTGCCATTACAGTTCCCATAGCAACACAGCCTGGCTTTTTTCCTTAATGAGATATAAAATAGTGCAAACTAGTTGACAATAATAATAAATATTAATTTATTAATTATTATTATTATTATTATTATTATTAGGATACGTCTACACAGTGGCACTATTTCAGGGTAACATTCGTTATCCCAAAATAGCATTGTGCGTGCCTTAACAACACACCTTTTATTTCAAAATACATTCAAAATAACAGGCATCTTATTTTGGCTTCCTGTAAACCTCATTCCATGAGGAATAAGGAAGACACTGGAATAGTATTCTCTCTCGAAATAAGCTACACAATTTGTGTAGCTCAAATTGCATAGCTTATTTGGAGCTATGCGTGACTGTGTAGACTTATCCTTATTAATGTGGTTTTTCTCAAAGTGGGCTGCAGGCTCAGTTTGAGAAAGCTGCTAATGTGCTGCTCTGGTTTGTTTATCTGAAAGCTTCCTGCAGCTCCCCTTGGCTGGAAACAGCAAACCAGAGCCAATGGGAACCAAAAGGCTCCATGGCTACGGGGCCTATAAATAAATTCCAGAGCAATCCATTAGAAGATTTCTTAAAGTAGGCCCATGGCCACTGTTGGGAAACACTATTAATGTATTAAGTAGCGTCTGACACGTTTAAATAGTGTTGTAATGTGTACACAGTGGACTAATGTTTTAGGTGTCTTCCAAACACTGAAGACAGTCCCTGCCCTGATTGGCTCACAGTCTGGTTGAGCTTAGGGCTCTACTCTTAAAGAAATTAAAGTTCTACTTACATTAATACATTTGATGTGGTAAAAGATGGAGAATTTACTGCAAAGACATTCAAAACTGGATTAAGCCCATCTGCTACTCTAATTGTGTAAAGGGTTTTAAATGTGAGTGTAAATAAAGAGTTCTGCTCTGGTTATGAAAATGGTTTGCAGAATGTTATCTCTCTATATAGTAAAGAGCATTAAATCACCCCCAAAATCCTTAGTATCAAAATGATTTAAAGAACTAGCTGATTAGCTATCTATTGAAGCTATTGTGAGTGTTTCTCATTGGATCAAGTCCCAACAAACTATTCTAGATATTAGTTTGCAAGGAAGTGTCCATATATTCATGCTAGCAATACAAATGTAACAACCAAAGTATGATAATCTCTAGTTATGCAATTGTTTAACTTTGAACATAACACGGTACCTACTAGTTCTCTATTTTGGCTACTTCTATGCAGTGCTAAATATCACCCAAGTTAGAGATATAAATGTGAGACCAACTCAAGACACAAGGCTCTAGGAAGTGGTCTGTGTTCCTTGCCTATAATAAAAATGGCAAGGATTCTGAAGGTCTGGCCATACAGGAGGACGGGAGATTTGATTAGGCCATAAGTACATCTAGACCACAGGCTTCTTGTGCAAGAAGCTTTTTTTAGAAGAGATCTTCCAAAAAAACTTCTTGCACAAGAGAATGTCCACACTTCAAAAGTGCATTGAAAAAGTGATGCACTTTTTCGAAAGCGTCCATACTGCCTGGATGCTACCTTGCATATAAGCAGTGATTGCTATGGACAGAATGGCTACCAGGGCACCTGTGCTTTTTCCACTTCCCTCTTCTTCTGAAAAAACTCCCTCTTCCCCATCCACACACACCTTTATACGAAAGAGCTCTTTCGCAAAAGGCTTCTTCTTTGTAGAATGAGGATGACCAATTGTGCAAAAAGCCCTCTGTTCTTTTGATTTACTGTTGAAAGAACATGCTTGCAGTGTGGATGTTCCTCACGTTGTGTCAACAACTGTAAAATCTACAAAGGGATAGAGAAGCAGTTCTCCAACTGTGGGTCAAGACCACAGAGTGGGTTGAACCCCATTTTAACGGGGTTTGCAGGACTGGTCATAGGCTTGCTGAGACCTCAGGCTGAAGCCCAACCCTTCCCATCTGTGGTTGAAGCCCAAGCCAAAGACTTTAGCCCTCGGTAGCGGGGCTCAGATTACAGGCCACCCATGTGGGTCTGATGTGCTTACGCTTTGGCCTCCCCTCTTTGAGGAGTTGGGACTCAGTCAGGCCCAGGCTTAAGTTCCCTATCCTGGGGTCATGTAATAATTTTTGTTGTGAGAAGGAGGTCATGGTGCAATGAAGTTTGAGGAACCCTGGGACAGAGAATGAAATCTCATTGGAAATTCAACATTCAATCTTTAAGAACATATTTAAATACAGAGAGAATACATCACACAGCACTGCAGTGTATACCGGGCATTGCTAAGTTCCAGTGAGTGAACAGAACTGCTTCACCACTGGTCCACTTGAAAGTCCCTTGTTCCTCTGCATCTGAAAGACCGATCCAGAAATATTTTTCGGACCTCAGCCCCACCAGACTAATCAGGTAGGCTTGTTCATACCTATAAAAAAGGATAATAAACCAAAGAGAAATTGAGTTTTGTTTTCATGGTAGCATTATTTTTAATCAAAACAAGCTATAATTACTAACATGATTTAGGCAGCATATGGACTTTGTAATATTCTTAATTTATAACAACGGAATTCCTCTTTATTGCTTTTCACTAAACCATGAAGTCCTGATGGATAGGATGGGAAAGAGGAAATCAGAAATTTGTTTGCTTTTGCCTCCATTTTGGGGCGTTCTACTGAGCATTAGGTACTAAAATTAGCAATGCAGCTACGGCATGAGGTGGTGATTTTGTAATGCAGAAAAGCACTTTCCCAAAACAAAAATGTCTAATTCCCTTAGAAGGACATTTTATTAAATCAAGGAGCAGGTAACTTTAACTTTCATCTTGATTTTTTTATTTTCAGAATAGACCTTTTTTATTTGACACATTAGATTTGATAAAGAAGTTCTAGGCTGTTTAAAGCTGAAAAGGCATAAAGTTATTTTCATCCTTAGCACCAATGTAAAAGTAAAAGTCATTACCATACCTATTTTCAATAGAAGCTAGGTAACTCTTATTCCCTTCACAGATTTTATTTGCTTCTGAAAATGTTGCAGGCATCAGTCCAACAGAGTAACAGTATGCGCCATATCTTTTCCAGCCCTGTAAAATAACCATCAGGCATCTGCATGTGTTCTTGACCAATTGTGGTATACTGCACACTGAATGAACTCTAAGCATTTTGAAGTATATTAATAATATATTAAGAATTTATTATTAAAGCCAAATTAACACATAATAAAGAATAAAGAAAAAATTTCATCATCAGAGGCACAGCATTCTAATTAAGCACTTACTCTCAGCATTTTCACTAGGAATAACAGTTTTGTAAACTGAATTGAAGAATCACTACAGCCAAACTTATAGGGATGTTTGATTAGGTTGGTCTTCTCTGTCTGCCTAGCCACGAGTAAAATGACATCAGTACTATTGCCCTAATACAATATGCTGAAAACGGAGTAATCTCAATCTGTGCTTGCTCTGCTGCAAAATGTTCACAGCTTCCCAAACTGGGACAGACCTGAAAGGACATGAATGCTAGTTCTGCTGTTGACTTTTTCAGAAGAAAGTCATATCTATGCTAGAGCCCAACACACCTTACATCTCTGCTTCTCTCTTTGCCCTCTTACCTGGCTCCCCCACCCTGCCCACTGCATTAGCTATCATTCCCTGCATCTCCTGGTGTGCTATCTTCTACATAGCACCCAAGAAGAACACTTTGGGGTTAAAAACAAGCCCTGACTAATGTGATGCTCTCTCCAAAGTGTAGCAAATAAGTAATTAGCATTTTGGTTCAATTAGTCTACACAAACTTCTTTTCCTTAATAGCTGAGTATAGTCATCTCAGTCTAAGAAGCCCTGGAATGTGATTCCTTCTGAGCACATGCGCAACTGAGATGCAGTGGCATTGACTTATAGAAAGAAGGCCATCAAATAGATGTTATTAACTGTTGAGCTGCTTGCAAATGATTTTGTGACTATACTTGCCCAGGCACTCAGTATTAGATACATATAAAATTATTTGTTGAATTCTCTGGAAATCTTGCTTCATCAAATTTTTTACTCCTTTTGAGTACTTAAACAGTGCTATCTAATGACTTTTCAAGCTTTTCTGGCAACTTTCAGCTATGTGGAACAATGCTGCTTGTGTCTCCCCTTCCTGCAGGCATTGGTGATAACTGCACAGCTGTTTTCCTCGTGCTAGGTTGTCAGGAAAGGTATGGTCAGGGGAGACCCTGGGCTCAGAAAATCCTCTCTCTAACAGCCCAGCTGATCCCTGAACCCCCTATTACTGTTTCCAAATTCAAAGAAAGGGCACCAAAATACAAGTTTGTCCAGGGTGCCATTTTCCCCCAAGGAGGGCTCCAGTTATCAGTATGGAAGCATGCATACAAATAAAAAAATGAATTCTGACCGGATTTGTCTTAACTGAAGTAGTTATTTTTTCAGGTTAGAAATAATCAATATGCATAAATTGCAACTCTTTACAGCAAAACTTCTAGGCTCCTTCAAAGACAGTTATTGTAGATGACATAATGAGGGGCAGAGTAATCAAGAGTGAAACCTAACAGTACAATTTAACTTCCTGGAAATCCATGTAATTTAATTTGGGTTGTTTGCAAGCCAAGTTCCCACTGATTTTGAAAACTAATGGTACTCTCATTGCCTACTTACTTTCTGGCAGCCTGCCTCTGTTCTTTCCATTTCTTGAATTACTTGTGACAACTGTTTCCTTTTACAGATGTAACCAAACTTCTTTTCACAAAGATGGTCTGCCCAGTAGCCATCCTGAATATAGTGGGAGAAAGAAAGGTCTTTAGAAAGCTACTCATTTCCTTTATCTGTCCTATACTTTGAAACAGAAAGTTCTTTCAGCAGGCAAGGAGCTCATGAAGGTCCAGACAAGTCTGCTACAAAGCAGACACGCGCACTTTGCACACTTATGAAGGTTTTCTCTTTGTTCTTTCTTGTTATTCATTAGTATGAAATAAATGTCATTTTAAACTTATAGTCAATATTTAGCTTCTTGTGTATTGAAAGAGAACAATTATCTAGCTGCTGGTGTGTGTGCTGAGACCACTTCCTATTATGGTGACTAATACTGTCCCATGGTTTCCTTCCTTGTACTCTCCCACTGATTTGTTCATATCCTTCTGTTCTCTCTCATATTTAGTTTGTAAGTTCCTTTGAACAAGGACAGTCTTTGTTCAATGTCGGTACAACACAGAACATACTGGGGGCCTTGTCCACCACTAGGGTCTTAAGCACTATGGTAATAACAATCTAATTCAATATTTACACTACAGGTTGTATCTCCCTTAACCAGGACTCTCTGGTCTGGCTGGCAACATCCATGGTCTGGCACAACCACAGATGTTCCCATGGCAACATCCCCAGGAACAGGGAGATCTGGCAGCAGGGCAGGAGCACAGTAGGGGGGACCGGTGACTCAGCCAGCAGCCTCCAACAGCCCAGTGTCGGGGGTGGGAGGCTGCAGCATGGCCAGGAGTTCCAGCTCCAGCAGCTGGGGAGCTCCAGCTGTGGCCAGGGAGCTACAACTCCAGCAGCAGACGTGGAGCTCTGGCCCCAGCCCCTTCTGCAGACACGGTGCCCCGGCCATGGAGCCAAGCAGCTGCAGAGCTCCGGCCTCAGTCATGGAGCAAAGTGGCTACAGAGCTCTGACTGTGCCACTCCAGCCCTGGCAGCAATGGGGACAATGGCAACTAGAAAGCCCTGGGGTTGGGGCGGCAGCTGGGTCAGGCAGCCCTAGTCTGTTGGCAGCATGGACCATGAGGAGACAGACTTCCCCTGGTTCAGCAAATCCCCTCATTCAGGACTGGTTAGGTCCCAAGGGGGCTGGACAAGGGAGACCCAACCTGTGGTTTGAATCTAAGGATGTGTGCAATTTTAAATTTTTTAAAATGTTAATTTACATAATATAACTTGTACAGTAAATTGCCATTGACAGACAATGCTCCTACAAAATATTAACAATATTTCAACCACCAGCAAAGCTGTTAAACTCATTCAATTTTAATTGATACAAAGTTCCTTGACTTGTTTCTACCAGAATGCCTGCCCCATTGGCCAACCACCCCCTCCAGTGAATAAGCAGGCCTTAGAGAGTGCTCTGTAATACAACAAAGCTAGTTTACCGGTCCAAGTGGGCAGTGAAGGAAGTCAGTCAAGGACACAACATAGACTGTGCAAACTTGAATGTCTACAACAGTTACAAGCATCATAGTTTAACATGAAAAGAGAGACAATCTTTCAAGTGGGCAGGACTCAAACCAAATAGGTATTTATCAGCCATACCAGCACCTTGAATTCTGCCTATAGGCTCTTTGGCAACCATGGCAGCTCTCAAAGCGCTGGTGAAATGTGTTGTCTGCATGAAGTGCCACTGAACAAATAGGAAGACATGTCCTCCACCAGCCTAACTAGTACTATCCTTATGAACGATAAAGCACAATAATTATATAATTCACCAAACATTAGTGAAAGACACTACACCAAATATAAAGCAAACCTTAGTGTATTTATTTTATCTGAGAAAAGGCAATATGTAAGTACCCACATGAGGAAAAACTTCTGGGTAGTAGAAGACTCTTTAATTTATCAGGCAAAAGCATAACAATGGCCAAAGATGGTGCTAAAATATATCCTTATTAGAAATAAGATGCAAATTCTTAGCATCTCTCCCACCATTCAAATAATTTAGCTAGTGTATCATGGTTTCTCCAGTTCTAATTTAATTGTATCACTCTAGGGCTCAACATGTCCCTGCAGTACCTACTTGTTAATCTGGCCCGGCTAGGTAATGAAATAGGGGGTTAAACCAAGTGTGTATTGGAAAGCTACCTTCAATGTTAATAGAGTTAATATTGATTGGATTGTGTTACCTGTCCCTTCACAGCTACACAGTTTTCATGCTGGTTGTTTGCTCTGGTTGGTTCTCCATGGAGCCATTTGGTGTATGTCACAGGACTCCCATCACTCCATTCAAAAAACATTTCAACCTTAAGGTCATTAAGCCCAATCCACAGCTCTTCTGTTGGCTCTGACACATAAAAACAGTTTGTGTGTTAATAATCCTTCTATAGGATAAAGTTTAACTTATTTTGGAATGAAGAAGTTATTTTCAAGAATCTTAATGTGTGACAAAAAGAAGTGAATTCTTGCTGCTTAATTAAAAACTTTGGTTGCTTAGGGTCGTCTACACTGATCTGTAACGTGAAATAAGATACTCAACTTGAGCGACACAAATTGCATATCTTATTTCAATGCTATTTCAAAATAGCTTATTTCCTTGTTTGGTTCTGTCTACACAGTGCCAGATTTTGAAATAAAGTGCTATTCCAAAACATCCCTTATTGCTCATAGAATTAAGTTTACAGGGATGTTGGAATAGCGAGCCCAAAATATCAGGCTTGATATGAAGATGCAGGATAGCTATGGGATACTCCAGTATACCAAAATAGCATTGCAGTGTAGATGAACCCTGAACAACAGCAATTGGACAAATAATTGGGACCCATCTGTTCCAATAGTATGGTTCCAGACTTTGGTCCAAACACATTGCCACTATATTTGGGATAAAGTAATGCAAATAAAACTACTTTAAAATCTTCAAAAAGCATACTTTCTCTTTTTCATACACTGAGCCTACCCAACAAGAAAAAAAAAATTGCTCAGACATTTAACAAAGACTGTAAATAGAGTGGAGTGAAATTCTGTTGCCAAAAAAGTTATTCTGGTGAAAAATGCAGATTTAGTGAAGACAATGTGTTTTGGAAATTTGATTTCACTAAACTGTTCATTTAGTGAAAAAACCAAACATATAAATATCCCCACATATTTATTTTTGACATTTTTGAAACAAAACATTTTGTTTTGATTGGAAAAAACTTCATTTCAAATTTTACATTTTTTAATTTTAAAAATTCAAAAACTGATAAAAGTTGTTAACATGGAAATAAAATATTTTTCGGAAGTGAAATGTTTGATTCAATCTGAAATAATATTCCATTTTTTTATTTGCTGAAAACATTTTTTAAATGATCCAATTACAAACTAATTTTTCCTTCCAAATTTTCCCAATTGCCAGTGATCAAAAATATGTTATTCACCTAACTCTACTTTTAAAATATTTCAACAGTATGTATGTACTCTGCTTACCTTGTGCTACAGCTCTTAAAAAAACAGGGAAAAATTGGTATTCACAGTACAGTATATACTTTCATAATAGAAAGGCAAATAGCAAATTTTCAGTTTACTGATAATTTTGGAAAATCAAGGAACATTTTTTAGGTAAAACTTTATTTTTTTACATTTTCATCAAATCAAAAATGCAAAAGAATTTTATTTTAGTTCAAATTAAATGTTTTGTTCGCCTTGAAAGGAAATGTTATTTGCATTTTTTAAATTATATTTTACAACTATTCTTTTTCTTTAAATTTATCAAATAAAATATATCCCCTCTATCTATAAAGGGAACTGTGATCTCTATGTTCTTTGGGTGCAAACATTTTAGTTTAAACAATAATGCTAACATAAACCAGCCAAATGGAACATTATACATATGAACATAAGCAAATTACTTCCTGTAAAAATACTTACTGAACCCAAGCTGAGACACTATAAAGCTATGTTCTTCAACATTGTGGATACTGATCAAATCACCATCCTCCATTCTACAGGAAGTCAAGGCTTCCTTCCATATTTTGGGCTCCCTGTGAATCATATAACAGTGACCGGTATATGACAACCATCCATCTTGGCATTTAATAGGCCCCAAATCATCTAAAATTAAACAATAATGTATCAGCATAATTTTAAAACCAAACAAAATACATAAAACAGACAGTATTTTCTTTAATTACAAAGCTCTGAAGGTCAGGTCTAATATTTTATGCACAATCTGCTATAAGAAAATATCAGTATAGTCAAATGACATTTTAAAATGTGAACATTTGAAAAACACTTTAAAAAGAGTGTGTTTTTATTATTTGTAAGATGTACACATTTGAATATAACTAGTATTTTAATGTGAAATCTTTACATAACTAAATAATCTGTACATATTGACCTCATAATCTTTTTCTATATTATTTAATAACTGATTCATCATTACCTGATCATCAAAAATATTTGTAATCTAACAGTGAATACCTTTGGATTATTTTTTAAATATATGCTTTCACTAAGAAACATCAGACCATATAGGGGACAACTGAACTTCCCAAATATGGATAAAAGGAAAAATTACAAGGAAAAGCCCGTTCCCATAAAATAACTTGTGCACCAATCCTGTGATGTATCACTGTTTTCATCCTTGGCTTTTTCATTTCTTACTTTCTTGCCCTTTATGAAAAAAATAATTGAATTTGATTTAGCTGAGCTCTCACCTTTTTATGTTCACTACAGTGAATATTTCAGTGAAGCATATGACTAGTAAAAATTCTGAGGAAAAGGCAGATTTTAAATTCCTTTTATGTAAGAACATAAGAATGGCCATACTGGGTCAGACCAAAGGTCAATCTAGCTCAGTATTCTGTCTGCCAAAAGTGGCCAATATCAAATGCCCTGGAGGGAGGGAACACAACAGGTAATCCTCATGTGATCCCTCTCCTGTCACCCATTTCCAGACAAACAGAGGCTAGGAACACCATTCCTACCTATCCTGGCTAACAGCCATTGATGGACCTAACCTCCATAAATCTATCTAGCTCTTTTTTGAACCCTGTTAAAGTTCTAGCCTTCACCACATCCTCTGGCAAGGAGCTGCACAGGTTGACTGTATGCTGAGTGTAGAAAAACTTATTTTTGTTTGTTTTAAACCTGCTGCCTATAAATTTCATTTGGTGACCTCTAGTTCTTATATTGTGGAAATAATTAAATAACTTGTCCTTATTCGCTTTTTCCACACCAGTCATGATTTTATAGACTTCTCTCATACTCCCCTTAGTCTCCTCTTTCCTAAGCTGAAAAATCCAAGTCTTTTAAATCTCTTTTCATATGGGACCCATTCCAAACCCCTAATCATTTTTATTGCCCTTTTCTGAATCTTTTCCAATGCCAATATATCTTTTTTGAGATGAGGCGACCACATGTGTATGCAGTATTCAAGATGTGGGCATACCATGGTTTTTATATAAAGGTAATAAGATATTCTCGGTCTTATTCTTTATCCCTTTTTTAATTACTCCTAAAATTCTATTTGCTTTTTTGACTGCCACCGCAGACTGAGTGGATGTTTTTATCTCCCCTGTCTTCACTATTGTGCCAGTGGGTCTGAATATCCAGCCTATGATGTTTAAACAGGGTAAAGGGTTGTTGCAAAATGAAAATGGGTAAAGGACAGAGTAGCTGCAAAATGAAAATCAGCAAAGCTGAATAGTATATGTGTATGTTTGGAAAAGAATTCCAGCCAGTTGAAAATAATTCATAATTTCATATAAATAAAATGCATTTTAACTTAGCATCTGCTCACCTTTGTAGACTGGAAAACTACAGTTAAGGTCAACAAACTGTATTTTTATTGATCAACTTACCTGAGGGAATACTGAAAGAATCTGAAATTGTGGTTCCCCTTTTACATATGTAGCCAAGTTTCCAGTCACATTCCTTGTTTTCCCATTTAGCATTTCTTTCAGGATTTAATGCTGCACAGATATTTCCAGACTCTGAAGAGGGACTTCCTTTGAAAGAAAGATACAAAAAAATAGAATATCACTGTATGCCAAGTAGCGTCTTGAGTTCTAATCACGCCTGGGGAGCTTAATTCTGGATGAATATTAACCAGGACATTCTCATTTATTTCCCAGTTTCTAGCCAAACTTAAATTTTCATTCTTAGAAACATCTCTATGTAGTATTCTGTAACAGCAATAACATCTGAACTACAGGTTCAGTCATGGCCATCATCCTTCTGGCCTTAAAAATTCCATCCTAATATGATTCAGAAAAGCAAGAAATACTGAATTTATGGGAAAGGCACAAAAAATACAGTTGGCACATACAAACCTTTCAGAAATGTATGTAAGTGATATAGCTTACAAGAGAAGCCAAAATATATTCTGTTATGATGTTTAGCAGTATAGCTAATGAGCTAGATCCTGCCCTCTCATACATCCATGTAATCAAAGGAAAAAATTATACTCAACATGTAAAGTGCTGGAATAGTGTAGTCATCTATAGATTCTTGAACAAGCATTTGCTCACTGTAAAACTTAAAATACACTAAACTGACCTCTCAGAGTAGAATTATTGTGCTATTATTAGAAATAAATATGGGGGTTACTTAATCCCAAAACCACTAATTATGAATGGGACACATCCAGCCTATTTAATTAGTTTCATTAACATGTATCCTACAACTGACAGGTAACTGTTTTAGTTGTTATATATATCTTTATTATGAAATTTCTACTCAAACTCATCTGATTAAGTGGGTTTTGCTCATGATCCTATATCTTTGTTAGTCTGTTAGTCCCAAAGGGCTACTTGTTGTTTTTCAAGATTTAGCAGTTATCTATCACAGTGGTGGTGTAATGTATTTAGCAGGTGAGAGCTGCCGAGTGGGGGCAAAGGAGTATGCTATGATAAAATGCTATTTAATGCTATAGTAATATAACTTGTCAAAAAACACAAAAACAAAACATAACATGGATTCTTCTTAAACCAGAATAAATGAAACTGGATTTCATTTATCAATAACACATATTAAATATAAGATTAAGGATGTAAGATTCCAATATACATACACAATATAACTTTCTACCAACTGTCCTTGACCACATGCAACCATCTAAATAAAAACAAATATCTATGTCTCTATTTTTCTGGCTATTATCAATTATCATCATCGTTTCCCACCACTTTTAGTTCAAGGTTCCACTTTCCACCAATCTCTCACTGGATGCTATGTAGGGATGGATGTATCTGGTTAACTGGTAAGCATCACCCTGGACCAAGCAGCCCCCATCTGCTACACTGCAGGCAGGGGGCCGCTCCAGACTGGCTGGACTGCCTGCAGGATTTCTGTTAACAGTTAACTGGTTAAACACAACTTTATCTGGTTAACTGGTTAAATAGGATTTTACATCCCTAAAGCCATGTAAAGCCCAAGTCAGGCTTTGAGCATTACATGCCTCTTGTGCCTCCCTGAAGAGATGGACTTGACACCAATGATCCTTGTTTGGGGACGGGACTTGGATAGTGGGCGAGGTGCACATTACACTAGACCCACTATATCTGAAAGCCTTTTGTTCTCCTGTTCTGGATCTCCAGGACAACATGAATCAATGGGAGCAGACAATAGGGTCTGATGCTCAGTAGCATTCAGGAACAGATGAATCATAGAATACTAGGACTGGAAGGGACCTCGAGAGGTCATCGAGTCCAGTCCCCTGCCCTCATGGCAGGATCAAATATTGTCTAGACCATCCCTGAGAGACAGTTATCTAACCTACTCTTAAATATTTCCAGAGATGGGGATTCCACAACCTCCCTGGGAAGTTAATTCCAGTGTTTGACTACCCTGACAGTTAGGAACTTTTTCCAACCTAAACCTCCCTTGCTGCAGTTTAAGCCCATTGCTTCTTGTTCTATCCTCAGAGGCCAAGATGAACAAGTTTTCTCCCTCCTCCTTAGGACATCCTTTTAGATACCTGAAAATGGCTATCATGTCCCCCCTCAGTCTTCTCTTTTCTAAACTAAACAAACCCAGTTCTTTCAGCCTTCCTTCATAGGTCATGTTCTCTAGACCTTTAATCATTCTTGTTGCTCTTCTCTGGACCCTCTCCAA